TCCTCCTCCTCCTACACTCCCCTGGCTGACCTCCCTGAGCCTCGCACCCAGCAGTTAGAAACCTGGGTTCTCCTCCTCCTCCTTCCACGCTCCCCCGCCTGATCTCCCTGAGCCTCGCTCATCCTCCAGATGTTTGTTGTCTCTCCGCTGGAAGGGCAGAGCCTTTCTCGTTCTTCTCTTCCAAGTTACTGGACAATAAAGAGCATGATTTATTAGGAAAAGAATGTCAAGGAAATCCTGCCTCTTTCCTGTCAGTTTCCTGGCTCTCAAACTTCAACCACTTCCCAGCAAGAGAACTTGATTTCCCCTGTTGCCCTGAGTTTGGGGAGGCGATTGCATCACCATTCGTCATTCCCGACTTTACCTCATCCTCTGGGGTTAACCCCCCAGCTTCCAACCGGCTCTTAGTCTAAAGCTGGCATGGGTTCAGCATTGACACCCAGCTTCCACTGCTCAGACACATAAAGGCACGGGGATACAAACACACACACACACACACACACACACACACACACAATTAGTGGAGAAGAAACGGTTTATTGTGAAGAGACATGATTCGAATTGGGCTGCTTCAACCCTGACAGTGTCAGGACGCTGCTCGGACAAGGGGATCACAGAAAGCAGGTTGTATGTCGTGCTGTTGTGCTGACGTCACGCAGATCAATTGCGAACGGAGCCCGAGTCCCAGGCCCTGTGGATCCTAGAGATGAGGTCACACAAGAGATGCCTCGCCTTTTCCCATCAGACCCCAGGGTTCCTGCTCCTCAGAACTAGGGGGGCACGGAGTTCCTTCTCTAGGAGAGCCCAGGGTCAAAGGCAAAGATCGATTGTTTGACTGGAAGGTGCCTTTAGGAAAACACTTCTTTCAGGTTTCACAGTCACCGAAGGGCAGATGGCCTGAGTGGGGCCCCTTCAAGGACCCAGAAGTGGGAATTCTAGAATTAAAAGTGTTTTCTCCTAGCCATTTCTTTGCGTTCCCATCCACTCCTCCAACTTCACACACCCGTGTAACGTTCAGAAAGAGATCCCACCAAATCAATTGCCTCGCAAGCAGATTTAGCCAAGAATGGGATTACAAAGCCTGAAATGAACATCTTGGTGTCAAAACTGGAGTCAGGACCCTCCTGTTCCTTTTTAAACGAGCCTTCGGATTAGCCTCTCCGACCCCGTTTCCATTGTATGATACGCAAGGGAGCTGCTGCCACCGGAAACGTATCACCGAGATGCTCGCTTCTGAGGATGGAAGAGCTGCCTCTGAAGATTGAGACACCAGCACGTTAAACATAGGTTCTTCTCATCCTTGTCCCATTGAATTTCCACCGGGAATCCCTTCGGGTAGCGCCATCTAAGAACGCTGCGATTGCGTTGACCCACATTACCAAAACCTGTGGTCATGGAGTCAATTCCAATGTACGGTAGGCGGACAGGTCAGAAAGAAGTTGCTCAGGGGTCCTGAGGCTGTCATCCTGACAGAAGCAGACCACCACACCTTTCTCTCATGGAGCAGGTGGTGGACCAAGCAGCCGTGTGTTCAACCTTGGCCCTTTAGCTTTCCTTTTCCCCTTACCAACGCCCTCAAGTCCAAACTCACTGCCGTCCTGTCAACTCCCATTCTTAGTGACCCTGAAGGACAGGGTAGAACTATCCTGGTGGGTTTCTGAGACTGTCAGTCTTTCTACTCAGAGGAGGAAGAAACCTCATCCTTCCCCTTCGCCGGCAGGGTGGCTGGTGTTTTTGAGCTGCTGACCTTTCGGTTAGCAACCCAAGGCTTCACTCACTATGTACGTCACCATGTTACTTTAGCTTTAGAAGGCGAATTTTACTGCCAAATCACACAGCGCTTTCACAACTTGGCAGGAAAGTCGCCTTCTGGTATAATCCCTCAAATATCTCACAGCAGAAGAGACTCCGTTCCTATTTAGACACTTCATTTCAGCAAGATAAAGAATTAAGAGAGTGTGGACCTAACACTGGGCTGTCCAAAATGTCTTGTTTCTGTCACCCCTTAGGATTCTATGATAATGTACACAAGTCCCTCCTGCTTCCTGGCTGTATGACCTTGGCCTTGATTACACAACCTTTCAAAGGCATCCCAGTGGCACAGTGGCTGTCAGCTGTTAGCCTGTCGGTGGGGTTGTGGAAGCTGGATTCTGTGTGGGAGCAGGTCACCAGGGGTTTTACCCTCAAAGTGACCAAGTAGGTTCTACTGTTAGAACTTTGCTGTGCAGCTCTTGGGAGTCTTAAATGAGGCATGAAAGTATTTGAGACCTACGGAAAAGTTATTGCTTTAATTCTCTTCCATTTCTACTCGTTGTCATGAGAAGAAAAATTAAAGGCAGCAACTGCATGGACTAGTGGAAGCTGGGACCCCAATGTAGCATCTTCCGTGAGCTTTGCTGGTCTTCCTCGAGAAAACGAGGAGTGGTGAAATGAGCCCTGGTAGCGCAATGGTTAAGCACTCCGATGCTGACTGACGGGTTGGTAGCGTGAACCCGCCATCTGCTCTAAGAAAGATGTCTGCTTCCATAGAGATGGGGGTCTGGAAACCCCAATTGGGCAGGTCTGCCCTGTCCTCCAGGGCTGCAGGGAGTGCTCACTCAAGGGCACGCAGGAACAGCGTCAACAGGAGGAGTTAGCCCTGTCCCCAAGGAATGTGATTAGCTCTGCATGATCTAAGGTGATGGATGGAAATTGCAAACACTGGGGAAGACTTGGCTAGGAGAGACATAGTCACCAAATCCCGGGATTTAAACTCAAGCTGGTGTCTTACAAAACTGCCCCTGGGGGGTGTTTGCAGTCTCCACGTGGACCCTGTCATCCTAGCAGCCTTCCCTGGCCCTCTGGCTGAGATGAGAGACACATTCCACCCTGTGCCACCCCCCCCCCCAACCCCACGCCCACCCTCTCCCATTGCAGGAAGGAAGGCCTGGATGATGTCCGGGTGTTTTTCATCCTCAACTATCTGGGCTTCATCTCACGGTTACTGCCCAGAATCCCTCAGAGACTGAGAACTAGGCCAAAATCTCTGTAAACGCTTCAAATAAAATCACTTTCAGATTCTATTCTGAGAGCATGACTGCTCAAAAGGCCATACCTCTTTTTGTTGTTTCTGGTTGTTGTTTTTTTTAAAGAAATTCTTTTATCTCCTGAAAAAAATGATTATTAGCTATTTTAAGTTATATTTTTATGGAAATTGTTCCTCCTCAAATAAATATAAAAGAAATTAAAGTCAGGATAGTTAGAGCTAGAAGGAGTTGATAAGATCTTGTTGCCTAAAATAAAATAAAAAATTAAAACCACAGAACTCTTTTTTTCAATGAAATGTTACTGCGAAGTCAAACTTGTCTAAAATAGTTCCGATCCAAGCAGTGTTGATTGGGGTGCAGGTAACGCTCCCAGTTTTCTGATGGTTGGGTCTCCCCACCGCCTGAGAAGCTCCTGGATCTCTTCCTGGACACAGTTGGGGGACAGACTTCTGGCCCAGCTTCTCCATGTTAGAGATGAGGAAACGGAGCCAGAGAAAGAATTTGACCCAAGTCACACACACATCTACAGACCCACAACCGAATGACTGTCCCTTTTTCTACACGGCAGCACTGAAAGAAAGAGGGAAGACGTTCAGCTCTTCACCCCCAGCTCAGCTAGCCGCTGGTTTGGGTGCTGCCACTGACAAGATAAGAAACGATGGGTCAAATCTGGAATCCACTGTCAGGGAACAAAAGCCATGGGTTTGGTGCTTACCCTTCATCTTTCGTATCTTGAATGGTCTTCAAGGTGGTGGATTTCGGCAACACTGCAGAGAAGAGGGTCACTTCAAGCAGTTGGCATCTCATGCTTAAGATAGAATGCCCTTTGTTTTGGGGGTTTTCATACCTGACATTTTTCAAGTTAAGGTGGCATGCTGCCATGACCCTAGTGCAGGTCTTGAATAACTCGGTCCTTGACTACTGTGGCAGCCTCCTTAACTGATGTTCCCGCCTACCATCCATCTTCTACTCCCATCCTTCCCAGGCTCTGTTGCCAGATGAACCTTCTCCGAACACCTCTTTATTCATGTCATTCCTCCTCTCCACAGCTCCTCGGTGCTCTCGGGACCAATTCCAAGCCTCCTGTCAGGAGATTAAAGATCTCCAACCCCGGCCTCCAAACACAGGCTGAGCTTTGGGCACTTTTAACTTGGTCCTTCTGTTCCATAGATTCCCAAACTTATTTGGACTACCGAAGGGAATGAAAAGCAGGCGGGGGGCTCCCCTGGCAATTTAAACTCTGCACTATTGCCCTTCACCCAGGATAAAGTGTGGGTATCTGCTTCTGCAGCCTCCCTGGATTGCTCCAGAATCCCCAAGAGGCTTCATCACCCACTTTGAGAAGTATTTCTCTATTCAATCACACTGGTTCTGTTTGGCTCCAGGCTTGCCTTAGACTTTTGCACTGAAATCCGACTTAGGGGGGTTGGTCCTCTGACTCCTTTGTGGTTCTGTCTACACCCACCCAGAATCGTGTGGGCAGGTCAGGAAATGCTTCCTGCACTACTCGCCTATAGTTTCATGCAATGGGCCTTTTATTTTTCCTTTTAATTCTCCACCAGTGTTCCACAAGCTGTGGCGAGGGTACTCAGACTCGCAGCGCCATTTGCCGGAGAGTGCTGAAAACCGGGGTCTCCACTGTGGTCAACTCCACCCTGTGCCCGCCCCTGCCTTTCTCATCCTCGATCAGGCCCTGTATGCTGGCAACGTGTGCAAGTGAGTACATGGGAGGCCTAGGTATGGGCTGGGGCTGCAGGATTCGCACAGCAGCAGCCACAACCGTGGAGTAGCCTGTCTTTAAACTCAAAGCAATGGGAGATTATCAGGCACGGAGCTGATGGAGGGTGGAGGTGGGGGGCTACAGAGCTCAGCTGGAGATGGAGAAGGAATCTTAAATGCACGTGACCAGGTTGAAAAGCCGTTTGCATAAGGTAAAGCAAAATTCGCCGGCGGGCATGCGGAGACGTGGAAGCTGAACGCCGCCTCTTATTAATGAAGTCTAATGCCATCCACTCTGGGGTTCTAAAAGGTTCAATATTAACCCCTGGGGTTGTAACACTTCTGGGCCGCCCTCACCTGGTCCCTTCGGGCCCTGGCGCTTTGCAGGGCCAAAAAGGCAAACATTCAACAACGGGGCACATTCTCCGTCTTCCCTTTGACCTCTGCCTCTTTGGGGGCCCTGGTTTTTATTTTTCTAAACCTTTTAATGAGGAACTGCCTTTCCCCAGGGTCTCGTCTCTGCTAAACCCCGAATTGCAGCTTCAGGAGTAGAAAGGGCCAGGCGGGTGACAGGCGCGTGGCCTCGCTGCACCTCATTGCGCCTCTGGTCTTGGACCTTGGCCGCCCTTGGGGTCGCAGCTGGTCTCCAGTTCCTCCCCTTCCGCTGAAGGCGTAGATGCATGCCCTACCCAAAGGACACCGGGGTCGGGGTGGGGGG